AAATAAATAAATAAATAAATAAATAAATAAATAAAATCTCTCCTACCTCGGCCAGTGGTACGATGCCCTGGATGTCAGCATTGCTGATGTAGAGGTGCGACACCTTCTCCGCTTGTAAAGATGTCTGGTCACTCGTTGGGTATTCCACTGTCCAGTGTAGAGTTTGGGTTGGCACCAGGTTAATCACATTGTCCACCTCAAAGTCCAGCTGCATCACCTCATATGTGGGACTATCCATTCTTTAAAGACAAAGAGGGATTGTCAGTTTAAGGTATTTACTGAATGCTTTAAATACCACAGTTAAAGGCTGATTAAAATATGAATGATTGTTTTAATAGTTTAGCGTGTTTGACACTGAGGTGAAAATAAACACGTCTTCTGGTTCAAGTGGAAATGCTGTTGCTCAATGAAGAGAGAACTCTGAAATAGGCTGGTTGAACAGCAAGAATCTTTATTTTGCAGTCCAGGAGATTACAGCCAAAACCCAAATTGTGGCCTTCAAGCCAAATGATTCACCAAGTAAGAAAGATGAAGTAAGAAGGCCAAGGATGGGGGCGCACAAGGCCCTTTATAGGCTTCACAGATGTACCATAAATTTTGTCACGGTATACCTTGTTCCTAATATGGTAATATGTGCCGAGCTCTGAAGCTGGAAACTAAGAGACATCACATCTGTGCATTCCTAAGAAGAGGCCCCCCCACTCTTGGACACTACAACACAAAAGCACGTGTGCTCTTAAGCCAAATGGCCAGAGAATTAATTAATTAATTAATTTAATCATCACATCTGTGCATTCCTGAGAAGAGGCCCTCCCACTCTTGGACACTACAACACAAAAGCACGTGTGCTCTTAAGCCAAATGGCCAGAGAATTAATTAATTAATTAATTTAATTATTACATTATTTATTTATTTATTTATTGAGGTCTCCACAGAATTTATTATGTCCTTGTGTTCTTAAAATAAATATTGTGAACATGAGAAGACCATAKAGGAGGATTAATAACTGGATTTGTCTTGATAACTTCTCATCTCATCTCAACTTCTCATTTAAAATCTTACTGCTCTCAGAGGCCGACTTTAACAATACAACAGTAATTATTTGATCCATAAAAACACCTAAAGTTTAAAAGGACAATCTGAAAAGTACATTTTTACCACAGTCGTGTCCCATAATTTGCACTACAAATTTAAGAGCACAAACTTTGGACATAGTCGACCTCTCTGACAACGTTCTTAAAATTCTGTAGCATTTGGATACTCTTGCTCTGATAGATAAACAAATCAATGGCATTTAAATCAATCCCCTGATCCAGTTCCTGCTGTGGCAGTAGGACAATGACCTTTCTTGTTTTCTTGTTTGCGAATTGCTATAAAATTGTCCAGGATTTTTGATTGCAATAACCGGTCAAACGTGTTAAAAGATGAACTTTCAGGATGTTGTTTTCAGAGGTTTAGTGCCATATATATAAATCACATTATTATTCAAATATTTTACCTTTTCCAGGGGTGGCAATATATGTTTTTATTGCAGATGATAATACAAATGAATGCTTGAAATGCTTCTCACATCCAAGTCAACCTTTCCTTCACAACACTGTTTTTATTATTTTGTTTGAAAACTATTCCCACCTGGCCAATCTGTGATTTGTTCTGTAATTATTCAAAGAGAAACAGAAACTTAAATTGCCCTGATTTGAATTAATTTTAGATTCAGAAAGTACAGGTGTGTGGTACAAATGGGATTCTTAGAAACTATTTAGCATATTTTTTATGCTCAGAGCACAACATGTTTAAACACGTTTTTAATTTTATCTCAGAATGTCTTTTGTAATATTGATCTGCTGTGTTAAATATATTAGTTGTGATCACCAAACAAATTATTAACTTTCTCTGCAGCAGTGACGACTGTGGCCAGTTGTGAGAGAATTCATAAACAATAACTAAAGGATCTAAAGGATTTTCTAAAATATACTTCTATTAATATCACTTTAGGACAAACCACTGATAAAAAAATATCTGTCTGAATGCGACAGAACCCTTTTTTTTGTGGTCCTGATAGGRACGAAAACTACTCACAGTTCACAGTAAGTGCAACACAAATGGTCTCCTGGGTGGAAGTGGAGAGATAAAAGTTCAACACACTCCAACTGTTTCACAGCGACAAGAAAGATAATAATCTAGATACAGTTGGGTAACCAACAAATCATTCTGTTGCCGGTTGCCTGACTGCACTATAAAAAAAGTTTCCCATTTTGTTATTCCACTGCATAAAATGTGCGCGCACGCACACACGCACACGCACACACACACTTTAAACCTTACAGTACCTGAAGAGGTTAAAAAAGCGTAAGACATTGTAAATAATATTAAAATGTTTTAAAGCTTTAGTGCATGTGCAGACACAGAAACCTGTATGGGAGTTACAGGTCGTGCCAGCCAGTTGCTGACAGTCCGTGATATCTGCTGTGTCTGACAGTAAGAGAGGCAGTCTGTTTTTGTCAGGAGAGATGAAGTGAGCGATGTGTTACAAAGCTAGATTAAGGAGGAAAAGCTGATGGATGTCAGCTCCCCTTGACCTGTTTTATGTCCCATCATGCTCGAGTCTCTGTCATCTGTTTTTGCCTCCTGTTTCCACCTTTCTTTCTGTCTAACAGACATAACCTGACATCAAGTAGTTACTCCTCCTTTAGGGAGAAATCTCTTTTATTTTAGTCAAAAATGTTCCTACAAAGAATAAAATAAAAAAAATATGATCAAATACAAATTTGATGATTGCTATGAGGTAATTTGAATAATAAATATAAAGCAAATAAAGGCCTATAAATGCAATATTATGCCTTGGTTAGAAAATGCAWATAGTCCATTATCTTCCATGTTTAATAAAAAAAAAAGAATCTTGTGTATTGCACAATATCAAATATTTTAACACAATAACTATAAAACTCACTGAGTTATAGCCATTTCTATATTTTCTATGGTGAGCTGGCTGTCTGTGGTGGTCATCTTAAATTGGATTGACTCCATTTGTAACTTTTTGTGTTTCAAAAAATTCAGCTAGTGTTTCACGGGATATTTCAGAAACAGGCGGATACACAATTGTACACACTTGCACACACACGTTAGCAAAAGATTTCAGTTTTTTTAATAGAAATAAAAAGTCAGAATTCACAATAAACCTATGTTCAGGCCCAATCATTCAAAGTCATGGTGTTCCTGACATCAGTAACTTCAGCTCTTCTGAAAGCCTGCACTTTTTGTTGTGTTTCTTCTCTTTATGGCTGTTAGTGAAAAGTAACAAGATTCACTATCTGGGGACACAAAGTGCCAGCCCATTTTTTTTAGAAGTCTGGCTAAAATACATTCATGTTTTTCTAGGTGCTTTACTACTATTTCTATTTAATTAGCATAACTTATTTGTTGRAACAGTGGCAAACATTATTCTAAGTAGGGGGGCTTTCAAGGAGCCACAATATTCAGAGGGGCCAAGTATTTTTTCAGCATCCTTGCACACAAATCCCCAGTTTTGGTAAGGTATGTTGCAGTCACATATACTGTATAGTATAATGTAATGTAATGTAAATAAAAAAAATTGCAGTTTAACATCTCCTCACCATTTTTACATGCATCTTCATTGTGCAAATATTAAATATTTTCAAACATACAGCATGTGAGGAAATCCTGCCATTTCTCGATGGTTGAATGGCTTTTTTTCTGCAGGATTGTTCAAATTGACTTAAGAGAGGACGACTTCTGTCAGCTTGATTCATGCTGGAATTTCCTACTTGACTCACTAGCGCTACTAGTGTTTGGACAAGAAACTGCATCCACCATCATCTCACTAGGCTAGCCAAAGGAGTGACAAGACAGGGACACTTCAGAGGGCCAATCAGATTTCAGCTGGGGCCCAGTGTCCATGAACCACCCCTGTGTTGAAAGAGTAAGTACATCACAAGACCAAAACAAGAGATTTTTTTTGCCTGAAGTTAAGAGCTTTTTATTGTTGTTTTTAAATGTGATTCGACATTTTCTGCCACATCGACAGATTTTTGTGTAACCATCACAATCTTTGTTGTTTAATCACAGAGGACACATTAGCACGTTCCCCATTTTATATTTAACATGGATAAACCACAAACACTGCAAGGTCTAGACACATACAGACTGAGACACGGTGCTCTGTCACTCTCACTCTTTGTTCCTGTCTTTCCTATTCCTGTAGACACACACAGGCAATGCACGAGCAACACACTCCTCCCTGACTTACACAGAGACACACACGCACACATGTACAGAGAACTATCCAAAAATTGTTGAGTGTGTTTTGGTGCAGTGTAATCACTGGAGCTGAAAAAGCAATGTGTCTGCAGTGACAGGTTCATTCAGGTGTTAGCTCCGTCCCAACCACTAGGCTCTGAAACAATCTTACACTGTCCTCAAGTGCACACACACACACACACACACACACACACACACACACACACACACACACACACACACACACACACACACACACACACACACCAGAGCGCTGCTATCCAGCACGCGAAACCAACCAAATGAAACGGCTGCTGAAGTTCACGCTTTTTCACAACTTTTCAGTTTGTTTTCCTTTAAGCAATGCTGATCTTAAGCTGCCACCCCTGTTCCAGATAAAGTGGTACATGTTTACAGTTCAGTATCAGTATGTACAGTACACCATCTGAGCTGCTTTAACACAAGTGATCAAATTCTGCTTGGCTTCAATGAAAATTTGGATTTTAGTAAAWTACAATACTTCAGGGCTATTCAACTATGTTTGCTCGGGGGGCTACAGTTACTGCCGGTCAACAGCTCAGGGGCCGAACATCCAGCAATTAAAGTCATTATGTAAATAAACCAAGAATTACAAAAATCTGTTACATTTGAAATAGTTTATTTTGCTGCATTTAATCATGAATACAACATACAGAACCCTATGTAATAAAAGTAGTGATAATTAGACAATATCAAAAACAAAAAATAACACATTATGCCTCCTGTTGAATACAAATATTTTGACATCTGACTTGCCAAAAATTTTAAACCAATTTTATTTTTACTTTCCTAGTTTTATCTTCAACTGCTTGTAGTTTAAACTGTCTTGGATGTTCATAGAAATGGTTTTTACAAGCTTCTAGCCAAGATTCTGACATTTCTAGATACCACGTCTTTGTAAAACTTATAGAATCTAAAGTCGAACACCTGGGGTTTGGGCTTA